GCTAGCCTCTTGTTGCCATGCTAGCCTCTGGTTGGCGGGCTAGCCTCTTGTTGCCATGCTAGCCTCTGGTTGGCGGGCTAGCCTCTGGTTGCTGTGCCCTGGTTCTTTTTACAATCTCTATTTCTGTGCTTTTCATTCAGCACTGACCCAGTCTGTATTAAGGCTGACTAACTTAAAGCTCTCCAGTCTGTATTAAAGCTGTGAGATGTTTTATGTGTTGTTCTGCAGTGTTCCTGTCGTCAAGATACAGTGAAGATCTCCATGGATGCGTTTGTGCGCAAGTTTCAGCCTGAGCGTTACGAACTGTGGAAGGCAGGAAAAGACGACGCACCCATCGACCACCTCAGACCGACTCCAGAAGCGGCTGAGTTCCTGAAGAGAGAAACCAGCACAGACATCTGCAGAGAGGAATCGCCTAAGGAGCCATCTTCTCCTGCCAAACGGGACCGCAGGTCTGGATCTAAACTCTCTCTGCTGTTTCAACCCAAACCTCCTCCAGTGCCTCCGTCAGTACAAACCAACCAGTGACCAGGTCACTTCACCGACTGGGACGTGACGTTTGCAGGTCACCGCACTGACTGGGACCGTGACGTTTGCAGGTCACTGCACTGACCTGAACCCTGAGTTTTCCAGGTCACCGCACTGACCGGGACCGTGACTTTTCCAGGTCACTTCACCGACTGGGACCGTGAAGTTTCCAGGTCACTGCACTGACTGGGACGTGACGTTTACAGGTCACTGCAGTGACTGGGACCGTGACGTTTCCAGGTCACTGCAGTGACTGGGACGTGACGTTTCCAGGTCACTGCAGTGACTGGGACGTGACGTTTCCAGGTCACTGCAGTGACTGGGAGCGTGACGTTTCCAGGTCACTGCAGTGACTGGGACCGTGACGTTTCCAGGTCACCACACTGACCGGGACGTGACGTTTCCAGGTCACTGCAGTGACTGGGACCGTGAGGCTTTGATCTCACTGCAGGAGATGCTTGAGCTTCAGGTAGAACGACTGAGTGGAGGGGTTCCGCTCTTTACCTGTTGAGCCCAACAAGTCCTAACATGTCCTCTCTGACGTCCTCAGCTCAGATCCTCAGAGTGAGGGAGAACGTCCGCCCCCAGCCGTTCAGACCTCTGAAGGAGACATGGGTGATGTGGAGGTCAAGGAGGAGCCTGAGAAGAACGCTCCCTCCCCAGGTAAAGACCTGAACTCTCCTCCGTGTCTCTGTCTGAAAGTCGACCAGCTGGTGACCAGATCACCATGTGAACCAGTTGCCATAAAATCTGTTGTTTCCGACACAGCTCAGCCTGAGCCAGAAGCTCAGCAGGAGAAGCCCAGCAGGGCTCAGACCAAAGGCTCCTCTAGAGCCGCCAACAAGAAGACCTCCAGCAGACAAAGCGCTGCGAGGAAGGAGAAGAACGGAGGAGCGGCTGCGGATCCTGGTCCTCCTGAGCCTCTGGAAGGCGATGGGGAGGGCAGAGTGGAAACCAGTGGTGTTCCAGTGCACAGAGCGTTCCAGAGGACGCTCAGCCCGGCCGACGTCCTGCACGTCCACAGCTACGCTAAAGGAGACTACGGAGAAGAGAACCCGGCGCTGGAGGAAGGCCGGACCACGAGCCACGAGGGTGAACAGGGGGACCAGCTGCCTGTCAGCAGAGAAGTGAGTGGCGTTAGCATCATCATCATCATCATCCTGTTGGAGGAGCCGTCCTTCACCCTGGGCAGACGCTGCTTTAGTGACGGTTTCACCATCAGCTGAAGGATCAACACCTTCAGCTGCTCCATCCCATCTAATCTGACAGACAGGCCGGCCCATTGGGTAATATAAGCCACCCTCAGGGGGCGCACACGAGTCAGACGTCTCCCATAGGATCAGGAAGATGCTCTTTTCTGCTCAGTTTTCAATTAAAGTTGTAAATTCTGATTTTCTTTAGTTTCATTTAGTGTTTTTTTTAGATTTAGCTCTTGTACGGTGTGAATGCACGTCTATTTATAACTCAATTTCAGCTGAAGGTTTAATCCTGTGAGGGGGGGTTCTGTCCCCCAGCAGGCGTTGGCCCCCTGTGCAGACCTGGAAGGTAACCTGGAGCCGCCGCCCCAGCCCCACCATATGGAGGAGGCCATCAGAGGTCTGTCCTGACGCCAGCCAGTCGCTCCCCCAGCATGTCTGACTCTGAGCTTCAGCGACGGGATTCTGATAGTTTGATCTGCCTTAGATGCTGTGGAGGAGCTTCCTCCAGCGGAACCAGCCGGACCAGAAGGAGACGACTGGACCAAAGCTGTGGTCCAGCTGTGGCAGAGCAGTCCTCCTGACCTGGACAAAGAGAGGGAGTACAACCAGTACATGGGCTCCAGACCTCCCTACTGCTCCATCTGCATGCTCTTCCAGACCTACCAGCAGGTCAGCACGTAATGGAGATGTTCCCTGTGTCAGCTAACCTAATAACATGGTTTCCACAGGTCCTTAAAATCCTTGGAATATGATAAAAAAATAAGTTCCAGGCCTTGAAGTTTTGAAAACGGCTGTAAAGACGCCCATTCCAGAGTTTCCTGGATGCGCATCAGAACTAAACTAGTACAAGGATCAAAAAGTAAACGGCACGTACGTTTTTGCTGCTCCTGCTGCGCGAGTGAATTATCATTATCATTATTATTCTTCAACGACCGTGTAGAACAATGCATTCTTTGGAAAAATGATCTGATTGTTCCTTATGTTCCTAACAGAGCACTTCGCTCTCAATCTGCAGGTTTACTAGTGGTTCCTAGAATTTCTAAAAGTAGAATGG